ACCAAAAAAAAAAAAAAAAAAAAAAAAAAAAAAAAAAAAAAAACTTAAGGCAGTTATGTGATGCTAGCACAAATCTATCCTATGCATAGGGTTGTGCAGATTACACTGAGTATGTTGTTTACAAATAGTTACACTGACAACTTAGAGAAAGAAAAAGAACATGTATTAATATTGTAAAGCAATGTAACACTTGCAAAATATCTAATGAAGGAAATGAAAGGTAGTTAGGCCTGTTGGTACCATCAATTTATAACTGTGTCATTATAAATTTATAACTATTATGAATTTATAATTGGGTACAGTTATAATTTTTTTTTGTTTTTTTGAGACAGGGTCTCACTGTGTAGTTGAGACTGACCTGGAACTCACTATGTGGTCCAGGCTGGTCTCGAACTCACAGCGATCCTCCTGCCTCAGCCTCCCAACTGCTGGGATTACAGACGTGAGCCACCATGCCCGGCCCAGTTATAAATTTTTTACACAGTATAGCTATAAATTCGTAACATTTCATATGTCTAATATCATTGGTTCTCTGGATGTATAAATTTTTCAGATACCTCAGCCATTCTTAACCTTTTTGTAATGGTCAGAATTGGTTTTTAGTGTTTTTTTGTGTATGCATGTTTTATAGAAGGGATTGAACTCAGGACGTTATGCTTGCAAGGCAGGCACAGTGCCACGGAGCTAATTCTCCGCAACCTCATTTTTTTTTTTTTTGGTTTTTTGAGACAGGGTCTCACTATGTAGTTGAGACTGATCTGGAACTCACTATGTAGGCCAGGCTGGTCTCCAACTCACAGCGATGCTACTGCCTCAGCCTCCCGAGTGCTGAGATTACAGGCGTGTGCCAACACGCCCAGCTTCAGGGGGTTAAAGTTTAATGGTTAAATCAAGTTAAATGCCATCACATTGGAAGCAGACCAATCCAAGAAGAGGGACAGTGCACAGAAGAGAATGGTTACTTTTTGGGGGCAAGTACCGGGGATTACTGGGGCCCTTATGCTTGCAAGGCAGGCAGCAGAACACTGAGCTAAATCCCCGGCCCTGGAATGGTTCCTTTTATCAGTCAGGGTCACGAAAAGAGAAGAACCAGAAGATCATAACAACCACATGCAATTTGTGGTCCTAGACTGAATTCTGGTTTGCATATTTTGGAGATGGCTGGGGAAACTTATGCACTGGATAATGGATGAGATAAAAAATGTACTGATGTGGAGAGATGGAGTTAATGAAGACAAAAAAAATGCAAGTTACAAAACAACATGTATACCATGATTTTATTTCGGTAAAAAGTTGCATATCGACACTCAGTCATTACTGGTGGCAATCAAAACGGTATGGTAAAAAAAAAATGGTATGGTCATTTTGGAAGACAGTTTGGCAGCTTCTTACAAAACTAAACATATTCTCATCAGGCAATCCAGCCATTGTGCTCATTAGTACTTACCCAAACAAGCTGAGAACTCACATCCACACAAAAACCTGCACATGAATATTCACAGAAACTTTTTTCATGATTTCCCACATTCGGAAGCAAGCAAGATTTGGTGGGTGAATGGATCAAGTGGTCCATTGAGACAATGGACTATTATTCAGTGCTAAAAAAAAATAATATCAAGCCATGAAAAACCATGGAAACAGCTGGGTATACATAGCTTAGTAGTAGAGCCTTTACCTAACGGTAAAGCCCTGGATTTGATCCCCAGCACCAAAAAATACACATGGAAGAAGCTTAAAGCCACATTATTAAGTAAAGAAACCCATCTGAAAGGCTTTATACTGCATGATCCCATTACGTGACTCTCTGGAAAAGGTGAGAGCATGAAGAATATGAAAAGATAAGAGGTGTCAGGGGTTAGAGAAGACTGAGGGACAAACAGGAGAGGCACAGAAGGTTTTGGTATGGGTGAAATTATCCTGTGTACATTAAGACTACCCACAGGTCATTCATTACACATCTTTCCAAATCCATAGAATGTCCAACACCAAGAGCGATCCCTAACGTGAACTATAAACTTCTGGTGACAATGATGTTTCAACGCAGGTTCAACAACTGGTGTGGGATGTCAATAGCAGCCCAAGTCGGGAGAGGCGGAAACTACTCAAGATTTCCCTATACTTTCTGCTCAATTTCTCTGTGAACCTAAAACCCCTTTAAAAAGAAATACAGCTTACTAGAAATGTGTGTGTGCATGAACATGCATAAAAAATCTAGAACATATGGAAAGAAATCAGGAGGAGTAATTTTCTAGATGTTAGAAATTTTTCTTACTTTTCCTTATCACTTTTTTTTGAGTCAGGGTCTCAGCCTATCCTTGAACTCACTATGTAGCTCAGGGTAACCTGGCTTCCAGCTAATTTTTTTTCCTAGCTACATGTTTTAAACTTCTACCATGTGTGTTATGGTTTTTATAATAGTAAAAGTTTAAAAAAATCAAGGAGTTAGATGCTACTGAATTAAGGGAATTAAGAGGGTTAAATATAATAAGAGACTTGCTAAAGAATAAAAGGTGCAAACTCAAAAATGTAGAACAATTTTGGAGGTGAAAGTAACAGCCTAAAAATAAGAGCTTACAGAAAAAATATTTCACCTAAACATTATGGTTAAAGATAATACTTCCTAGCTGGGTTTGGTGGTACACACCTGTAATCCCAGCACTTGGGAAGCTGAGGCAGGAGAATCAAAAATTTTGGGCCACTCTGGGTTATACAGTGAGACCTTGGCTAAAAAACAAAAACAAAAAACTTAAATCATGTTTCTTTTTTTGGGGTGGGGGGTTTGAGACAGGGTCTCACTATGTAGTTGAGACTGACCTGGAACTAACTATGTAGCTCAGGCTGGTCTCAAACTCACAGTGATCCTCCTGCCTCAGCCTCCAGTGCTGGGATTACAGGCGTGAGCCACCACGCCCGGCTTAAATCATGTTTCTTTGCTAAGAAGTATGCTGAAAAAATGCTAGGCCTAGACACCAACAATCAGGGAAAAAAACCAAATATAGACTAAGAAAACCCTGGGGTTTTTTGTTTTTTTTGGTATTTTGGGGGGTACCAGGGATCGAATTCAGGACTTTGTCCTTGCCAGGCAGGCACAGTGCCACCGAACTAAATCCCCGACACAAGAAAACACTATTTCTTACATGGTATATGCTTGGCAAGTTGTTGGCTAAAACTTAGAAGAAAAGACAAGGGCTGGGAGTGCAGCTCAGTGGTACGGCACTGGCCTGGCAAGCACAAGGCCCTGAGAAGAAGAGGAAGAAGGAAAGGCATAAAGATTCAATCTACAACCCTATCTTTAACCAAGCACTAACCGAAAATCCAAGTGGATTAAAGATCTAAATATTAATACAGAGACAGTAAACTTGTTGGAAGATAAGTTAGGCAGAACTCTCGAAGACATTGGCATAGGAAAGACTTTATGAACAAAACATCAGTAGCACAGGAACTAGCACAAAGAATCAACTGGGATCTCATCTTACTAAAAAGCTGCTAGAGAAACCACCAATAAAGCTAAGAGACAACCTACAACGTGGGAAACAATTTTTACCAGCTGCTCCTCAGACAAAGGTCTACTATCTAGAATATACAAAAAACTCAAAAGAAGCAGACCCCCCCAAATATAAAGACCTGATCCAAAAATAGGCATCTGAAATGAACAGACATTTCTCAGACAAATATATATATATATGAAAAAATGTTCAATATCACTGGGCATTCAAGAGATGCAGATGAAAACAGCACTGAGATTCCACCTCACCCCACAAAGAATGGCTGCTATCAAGAAATCAACCAATAACAAATGTTGTTGAGTCTGTGGGGAGAAAGGAACCCTTCTCCATTGTTGGTGGGAGTGCAGAATGGCGCAACCACTGTGGAAATCAATATGGAGACACCTCAAAGAACTCTGATTAGAGGTTCCACTTGACCCAGCTATCCCTCTGCTGGGTATCTTCCCAAAACAATTAAATGAATCATACCACAGTGATATAGGCTCACCCAAGTTTATAGCAGCAGTTTTTAATAGCAATTGGAAAAAGTCCATTTGCCCATCAACTGGAGACTAGATGAAGATGTGGTTTTTCTGTAAAATGGAGTACTACTCAGGCATAAAGAATGAGAAACTAGAGACATTTATAGCTAAATGGATACACATTGAGGCCATACTCTTAAGTGAAAGAAATAGGACACACATGTGTAAATACTGAATAGTTTTTCTGGTGTGAAAAACTAAAAGTGTAAATAAGGCTCAAATGTATAACTGATAATGTGAAAGAAAAGGTCTAAAGGTGTAGAGGAAGTGGGAAGGGTAGGGGAAAGGAAAGAAGGGAAAAGAAAAAGAGAAAATGGAAACAAAGTCTTTGTAAATAGGGGAGGATGGAGGGGGTGAAGGGAGAGCAGGAGAATGGGGAAAAAATAAGAACCAAGATATAGCATGTAAAGGTACAAGGTCCCAATGATGAATGTAACTGTACTGTATACCTAAAAAGTACTGATAAAAAATGAAAAAAATAAGAAGGCAAGGCAAGCTCCAAGTTTCAAGATGTTCTTTAAAATCCCCTAGCAGCTGGGCATGGTGGGTCACCCCTTTAATCCCAGCCCTCGGGAGGCTGAGGTAGGAGGATCACCATGAGTCCCAGGCCAGCCTGGGCAACATAGTGAGAACTCTGTCAAACTGAAACTTTCGAGTTGACTGAGTCTACAGTCAACCACAGCCAGGCCTGTCGTCAACCTCACACTGTGTTTGTGGTACCTTCTACCAGAACACACTTCCAAATACTAAATTAGGCAAGTAGGGCTCAGAAAATAAGCCTTATTCCTTAATGCCTTTTGACTTGAATAATCACTGCCTCAAAACAATTTTTTGTGTGTGTGTGTGGCGCTGGGGATTGAACTTGGGACCCTGTGCATGCTGGGTAACTGTTCTACCACTGACCTATACCTGCAGCTCCCAAAATAGCTTTTTGAGTCAGCTTACAATTAACGAAACAAGACTACCAAGGGAGTCAAGAAATTACTGAGTTGGGGAATCCCACGAAAGTTGTTATGCCAGAAATCGCTGGCTAAAGAAAACTAGTAAGTTAAATTCCGTTAAATGAAAGCTTACTATGTGGAAAGTTGTCATTTTATTTAAGTCATCTTTCTGCGTTGTCTCATTTTCTCACAAGCCTCTGGAAGTTAACAGCATTATCTTGGTGTTTGCAGCTGGAGGACGACCCAGGAGACCGAAGGGCACTAACAAGAACCAAGGGGGGAAAAGTGTGAGACCACAGGAATAAGGGATGAGGGAAACACGGACTTAATTGAGAAAGACAACGAACCGTGCTAGCAGAAAGGGGGTGGACGGAGGAGGAGGCTGCGGTGCTGCGACGCTGGGGAAGGAGTCGGGGCGGAGAGCTAGCTGAGGGTGAGAAGCTAAGAGAGGTGGCGATGGAGCCAGCAATCGGGAGAAGAGATGCAGCGGAAAGGGAGAAGAGGCGAGGAGAGTGCAGAGGAAGAGGGGGGTGAAGGACCTGAGAGGGAGAGTAAGGATGGGCCAGAAACAGAGGCGAAAAGCAAAAGAACAAAGAGGGAGAAGAGGAACAGAAGAGGAGGGTGGGCGGGGAGAGAGGAGGGGCCTGTGGGAGGGGAGGGGATGTGGGCGTGGTCACGAGGAGAGGATGTGATGGGGAGATGGAAGGAGGGGCGGAGCCTAGAGGAAGAAGCAGGTGGAGAGGAGGAAGACAGGGCAGAGAGGGAGCGGGGAGAACTGAGAAGAAAGGGGAACGAGGCACTCAGAGGGCGAGAAACTGAGGGCGGAGATGTAGAGAGGGAGAAAAAAGAGAGAGGGGAAAAGTGACCCGGATCCGCGAAGTGGGAAGATCGGAGATTAAGACCTAGGCACCCCCAGAGAGGGGCGCTGGCAATCCGCCCCAGGCCCCAGCCCGAAGCTTTCCCCCACCTCTCTTTCCCTTGCGGTTCTCACCTGACAGGATGCGGTCTCTTGGCCCGCCTTACTGAAGTTGACCGGGGCCAATCCCGGGAGGTAGGTAGAAAGCCACTCCGTGGGCCCCGTGAGGCCACAGGAGCAGCCCCAGGCTCTGCAGCCACCTCAACCCGAACAGAGGGTGCCAGAGGCGCCAGAGGATGGTTTCCTGGCCAAAACCACGAGGGCCCATTTCAGGAGCCGGTGCAGGTTGCTGGGCGACAAGCACGCCCAGTGAGCTCAGAACCGGTGGAAGGGAGCGGAAGTGACTAGGAAGAATCACAGACAGGGAAGGGCCGAGACTGGTTGGCTGGACGAGAACTCCAGGTTGGGAAAAAAAAGACGCTGGTTTGGAACCCGGTTGCTAGGATGCCCGGAGGGGCGAGCGAGACGAGTGCGCATGCGCCTGGGTCCCGCCGCGCTTTCCGCCCAGTGCCCATCCCCCACGCCTGCTCTGGGCTTTCCCGCTGTTCCGGCCGGGCTTCACGCTCTGCCCTACTTGCCTCGCTGCCGAGCCGGGATGGGGGTGGGGGTGGGTGCGAAGGGAAGCTGGTTGAGAGATCTCACCATCACCAGGGCTTGCCTCCGGGAGGCTGTTTCTCAGTTTCAAACTAGCAGCGTTACCATCCTCCTCTTGATTGCAGGGCCATGAGGTCCAACAACTGCAGCTGTCTATCGGGGACTTGAAACTCAGCTAGTCCAACTTTGACGTTCTGTAAATTAAAATGCACGCTGGGTTTCAAAGACAATATCAAGCATCTTAATCATTCAAATATTGATGACATTGGGATAACAATATTTTAGTTAAATAAAACGCAATTTCACATTTTTTAAGATGTGGCTACTAGAAAGTTTAAAATTATATATGTGGCTCACATCGCTGGCCTGGAGAAGGAAAAAGGAAGGGGGAAAGACTAAAGAAAGGAATAGGGAGCACAAGGTCTGCTCTAAGATACTGAATGAAAGCCTCTCTTGTCTTAGCAACGTGTTTGTGACCTCTGTAAGAATCATTGTCTCCCTTGCCTCCTGCTCTTTGTGGTTTCCTATAATGCCGAGGGCTTGCATTTGGACCAAGAGGGTATTATAGGTATCATAGGACAAAGGTGGTAGAAGAGCTTAATTATTTTACCCCCTTTTGCCAGAAGAGCTTTGGAGAACAAGAGGTCATTTGTTTCCGCTGAAACTTGTTCACATCACTAAGTGCCTTTCTGTCCAAGTTCCCTCTCTCAAGATTCGCTTCTTTTTGTGATTGGCAGGAGGTAATTCAACACAGAAGAAAGGCTGGGATCTGGCCCTTAGCCTAGACATGTAGAAACCTAGCCAGTTAACTCTTGGACTAGAAGCCTAGGGAAAATTGTTAGAGAAATGAAAGAAAATGTATGAATGCTCAGAAGTAGGGGAGTTTTGCAAGTGAAAAGACTGAACTAGACTAAGAACATTGGAGCAGCCCATGTAAAGATTCGGGGTCAGATTAGCAAGATTAGAAGGCCACTGTCTTTGTGAAGGGGAATTGGAAAAGAACCCTGGAAGATTGAGAGTGAAGTAACCAGAGTGTAAGTAAAAATTTGTGTTCACTGCTATATAACCACTACTCTCTGGGCTGCCTTTGAGTAAAAAAGTGTATATATTAAAATGGAAAGGCCAAGCGTGGTGGCGCACATCTGTAATCCCAGCACTCGGGAGGCTGAGGCAGGAGGATCGCTGTGAATTCGAGAGCAGCCTGGGCTACATAGTGAGTTCCAGGTCAGTCTCAACTACATAGTGAGACCCTGCCTCAAAAAACCAACAAAAAAAATGGAAAGGAGGCCAAGTGACCAGACTGCCACAGACTGAGGGCTGGAGGCTAGGGAGGCCCAACCCTAAGAGATCTCAATACTTGTACAAGTCCCAGCCCTCCTAGTGCCACCATGAAGCCCATCTGTTAATGTCACCAGCTTTAGCCACCTGCTGAGCATCAAGCTGAGCCCAGAGACAGCAGATGGGCAGGCCCTGGAGGCCAACCACCTGAGGGCAACATGACCAAGATCCGGAAGCCTCATATTCCATGCACAGTGGGAGTCTGGGAGTTTGTCAGTCGAGCCTGTCCGAATCTGTCCAAACCATGTTCATGTTTTGCCTGATCACCTCAAACAAGATGCTTAAACCCTGGGGCAGCCTTGTACAAGGCTGTGAGACACTTTGCCTGGGCAATTTAGCAAAGCTCTGTCTCAAAATAAAAATGTTTGGAAAGAGATGTGGCTCAGTGGTAGAGTGACTGTGTGTGTGAGTGTGTGTGCGCACATGCATATGTGTGATACTGGCGATTGAACCCAGAACTTTCTTAGCAAGCTATATTCCCAGCCCATGTTTTTTGTGTTTTGTTTTTTGTTTTCGTTTTTGTTTTTTTGTTTGTTTGTTTGTTTTTGGTTTTTGAGACAGGGTCTTACTATGTAGTTGAGACTGACCTGAAACTCACTGTGTAGCCCAGGCTGTTCTCGAACTCACAGCAATCCTCCTGCCTCAGCCTCCTGAGTGCTGGCATTACAGGCATGCGCCACCAAGCCTGGCTTGTGTGTTTTGTTTTGTTTGTTCCTGACAAGATCTTGCTAAATTTCCCAGGTTGGGCTCTCAATTACAATCCTCCTTCCTTGGCCTGCATAGTGCTGAGATTATGGGTGTGCACCACCATGCCCTGCTAGTTGTAGAGTGATTGCATACTATGCCCAAGGCCCTAGGTTTAATCCCCAATACCAGGCAATGAATCACTAAATACGTAAAATGCATTTACCAGTATAGGCTATACCTGAAGCTGAAGGGAGATGTGGGTTTTCCTTCCTGTGTCGCTAGAGACATTTTGGTGAAAGAATACAAATCACTGTAATCATTTTATTAACTTTACTTCTCTCTCCCCCTTCTTGTCTCTTCTCTTTCTTCTTGAGCACAGGATCCACTTCTTCCTTGTCTTCACATCTTTTTTTCGTTCAGATTGAGGATCTTATGAAGAGCATAATACACAGATTCAGAATCAATGAAAAGATGAATGTCTAAAGCATTTTCACATATTTTACCTTATTTGCAAACCGTAAGAAAATGTAATCAAAAAAATGAGAGTAAACTAGACAATAAAGATAATTCTTGCTGGGCATGGTGGCACACGCCTATAATCCCAGCATTCGGGAGGCTGAGGCAGGAGGATTGCTCTGAGTTCGAGACCAGCCTGTGCTACATAGTGAATTCCAGGTCAGTCTCAACTACATAGTGAGACCCTGTCTCCAAAAAAAAAAAAAACAAACAAACAAACAAAAAAATTCTCACCACCACCACCACCCCTTTCTTTCTCTTTTTTGGAGGAGAAGGGGGTTCTCACTATGTAGTTCTGCTAGCCTTGAACTGTCCTTGAACTCAGCCTCCCAAGGGCTGGACTAGCAGGCATGAAACCCCACTCCAACCCCACCCCTCGTCCTATTCCTTCTTTTTCTATAGCAAAATAGTTTTCCAAGTTCTTTCTCATGGTTCCTTCATGCTATTCTTTCATGACTGTGTCAAATAGGTAGGTAAGTTGTTGATCTCTCCACTTGTTGTGAAGTAACTGAGGCAAAGAGAAGAGAAATTTCATTCGCTTCTCCTGGGTCACAAAGGTAATAGAAGAAAAGATAAGGCTTAAAAGAGAGTTTACATGCAGCCAGGGGTTTAGCTCAGTGGTTCCACTACCTACCTGGCAAGCATAAGGACCCGAGTTCGATACCTGGCACCGCCCCCTCAAAAAAGAGAGTCTGCCATCTAATGCAGCTCTCCAGTACACTGTTAGTAAAAGGAGTATAAAGTGGTGTTTTAGTTACTTTTCCATCACTGGGACAAAATAATCCCTGACATACATAACTTAGAGGAGCAGAGGTTCATTTAGGTTCAGGTTTCAGTCCATACACAGTGGCTCCAAGACAAAAATGGCTTTAGCACAGGAGGGTTGGGCCTCAGTCCATGAGAGCTGGGAAGGAGAGACAAAGCAATTAGCCAGAGAGACAGGAAGCTGCCCTTCCTCCTCCAATCAGACCCCACCTCCTCAACGCACCTTCAGCTATGACCTCATCAAAGGATGAACCCACTGGGAACACATAAGACTTTGAGGAGACATGATTGATCCAAACCATAGCAATAAAAGGCAGAAATAAAGTCCTTCTGAAATGTAGCTATTAGGCCGGGGATTTACCTCAGTGGTTCCACCACCTGCCTCACAAGTGCAAGGTCCTTAGTTTGATCCCTGGAACCAAATAAATAAAATAAATATAGCTGTTACATTTCCAGCTGCAAACCAGGCCTGTAATCTGAGTACTCTGAGAGGCTGAGGCAAGAATATCGCAAGTTTGAGCTCAGCCTGGGCAATTTAATGACTTACCGACATCCTGTCTGAAAATAAAAAATTAAAAGGACTGGGAATGTAGGTCAACACAAAGGCCCTGAGTTCAATACCCAGTACCAGAAAAAAATAAATCCAGCTGCATCAATTCAGAATGTTTCGGGTACAAGCTGGGTGTGGTGGCTCACACCTGTAATCCCCTGTACCCAGGAGGCTGTGGTAGGAGGGTGATGATTTGGAAGTCAACCTGGGTAGTTTAGCAAGACTCTGTCTCAAATTAAAATAAAAAGGACTGTGGATGTAGCTCAGTGACAGAGCATCCTTGGGTTCAATGCCCAGTACCACATACACACACAAAATCACCTTCTCAGCAAGGCCCTTCCTGACATCCCATGTAAAATAGACAAACACGCATATATTACCTTCCTTATCCTGTTTTCTTTTTTGTCCGTGGCACTTAATTCACCATTTCGTCATGAGTTAGGCGCTACCTTTGGAAATTACACCTAGTGAGAGCAAACCATGACCTTTGTAAAATTTAGTGTCACTCAGATTATTTTGCAAAGGGGAGAAAAACAAGAAACGGCACCTTATCAAAGCAGGTGCTTCCAATCACGTTAAAGAAAAGATAAAACAGACTAATGCAACAACTAGGTCTTTAATAAAGCTGTCCAAGTTTCTAACCATTAAACATATCTGAGTCGCAGTTTCCATCCTCTTTCCAGCTCTCTTCAGTGTGTTCACCGCAAAATGAGGCAGTGGGACAAAGGAATACTGTGATCCAGTGGAAACATGCTCCATTTAAGCTGTGCTTCGAAATCTGTGCCTTGGAACATCAGAAAGGGAATTAGTGTGCTCTGGTAGGCCAAGTTCACCAGCTGCAGAGGCCACTTCATACCTTTCATGGTGTACATGACAGGGCCAGACCAGCTCGTCCTTTGGCTTCCTGCCTCGGCTCGACTTTTCCTCCACAGTTTCCCAAAACCTAAATACGTTTCTTCCAAAGTTATATTGGAAATCTGACCATGACTCACTCCTGTTTAAAATCCTTCACTGGGACAGTAACCCCAGTGCAAATGGGGCCTGGAAACATTAAAATGACATTGGCTGGAAAACTGCTGAA